AGTTTACCAGAATGAGGTAAAAGCATTTGAGGTGAGTTTACCAGAATGAGGTAAAAGCATTTGAGGTGAGTTTACCAGAATGAGGTAAAAGCATTTGAGGTGAGTTTACCAGAATGAGGTAAAAGCATTTGAGGTGAGTTTACCAGAATGAGGTAAAAGCATTTGAGGTGAGTTTACCAGAATGAGGTAAAAGCATTTGAGGTGAGTTTACCAGAATGAGGTAAAAGCATTTGAGGTGAGTTTACCAGAATGAGGTAAAAGCATTTGAGGTGAGTTTACCAGAATGAGGTAAAAGCATTTGAGGTGAGTTTACCAGAATGAGGTAAAAGCATTTGAGGTGAGTTTACCAGAATGAGGTAAAAGCATTTGAGGTGAGTTTACCAGAATGAGGTAAAAGCATTTGAGGTGAGTTTACCAGAATGAGGTAAAAGCATTTGAGGTGAGTTTACCAGAATGAGGAAAAAGCATTTGAGGTGAGTTTACTAGAATGAGATATCTAGAGATAGATTCTCCTGACTTCTTCTCAAAGTATCATACAATATTGAATTGATACATTTAATTCAATCTCAGATTCTTCTATTACGAGTAGTGTTAACATTTGTACTCATTTTTTTTTTAAATGTTGCTGTACATTTACAAATATAGAATTATGCAGCCATAGTGTTATTTTGCAGGAAGCTGTGAGGTGTGGTATACATCGTACTGTACATGCTGGGGAGTCTGGTCCATCTGCACATGTGAAAACTGCTATTGATGTAATGAAAGCTGAAAGAATAGGCCATGGTTACCATGTCCTGGAAGATGAAAAATTATATGAGCGAGTTCTGGAGGATCAAATTCATTTCGAGGTGTGCCCGATGTCAAGTTACTATCTGTCCTCGGCAGGTACTGAAAATTTCCGAAAACACCCTGCTGTTAGGTGAGGTGCTGCAGTTAGCATAAGATTCGGATTCTTGAATTCCAAGATTCAGATTCAAGATCATACATTAAATCAACATGTTATTTTGTTTTTATATTTTTCTAGGTTTGCCAAAGATAATTTGAATTTTTCCTTCAACACAGACGACGAGAGTATCTTTGAGACATCACTTCCGAATGAGTTTAACGTTGGTTATAATAAAATGGGACTAAGTGAAGCTGTACTCACTAAACTGGTATGAGCTGTTTTTTCATTTGAGAGCTTTTGATCGTGGTACATCAGTGGTGATTTTTTCTTTTTGGATTTTTTGTTAGCTCCGCTGTCGACTTTGTCGAGCGGAGCTTATCATATGAGTGATTGTCCGTCGTCGTCGTCCGTCTCCGTCGTCCGTGTCAATGTTTTACTTTTTCGACTTCTTCTTGAAAACTACAAGCCCTGAATGCTTTGATACTTGGTGTATATGTACCTTGGGTAGACCTCTCTCAGATTTGTTCATTTCATGATGATATCTTCAATTCTCTAATTTTGGTGAATATTTTTGTCATTTTTAGTAAAAAGTGATATTTTCGACTTCTTGTTGAAAACCGCAAGTGCAATTGCTTTGATATTACATATATAGGTACTACATGTGGACCTCTCTCAGATTTGTTCATTTTGTAATGATATCTTTAATTCTCTAATTTTGGTGAATATTTTTGTCATTTTTGGTAAAAAGTGATATTTTCGACTTCTTGTTGAAAACCGCAAGTCCAATTGCTTTGATATATTATACATATAGGTACTACATGTGGACCTCTCTCAGATTTGTTCGTTTTCTAATGATATCTTCTGTTCTTTAATTGCCATGTGCATTGCTAACAGCGGAGCTATCTCAGCCGACAGGCTGCTTGTTTGTTTATATTTCGGCAAAAAAACAATTATTATATTTGAAACTGATTGATTTGTTTTTGTTTGTCAGGTCTTCAATGCAGCTCGGTCAAGCTTCCTTCCTGAAAATGAAAAACTTGATCTGATTCGTCACCTACAAGGTGTGTATGGGATGACAAACAACGTGAACACATCGCAGTGCAATACACTATAGAAGACCGCCTTCTATGGCCAACAAGAATCATCAATGGCTGTGAGTTCCACAGTGCATTGTTCATGTCCTCTGGACTGTTGGTGAGAAGCAAGGTATAGAAGGAGGGAAATCATTGTCCCTCTAGGGTGTGTGTGCTCCATTTAACAGACGTAGGAATCTCAGAAAAATTAGTCACAGTAGTCAATTAGTAATTAATTAAATTATGGTATTAATTGTATTACTAGACATATTCTAACTCTTTGTGGGATCATGTAATTTGCTACATTGATACTCACTGCACAGAGATCCTAGCTTGGGTTAGGGTTACATAGACATGTACAGTAAATTTGAGGCAATGATAGTCACACTGCACAGAGATCCTAGCTTGGGTTAGGGTCACATAGGACATGTACAGTAGATTTGAGGCATTGATAATCATACTTGACAGGGATCCTAGCTTGGGTTTCTGTGACAGAGGGGGCATCCACTAAAACAATTGTTACCCGTATATATATATTATACCGGTATATCCCATAATGCAATGTCTTGACAACATTGTAAAGATGCACCCTACTGTCCACAAATCTTGTCCCAGTGTTGGGATCTAGTAGAAGTTTACAGTATATTTACATTTTGCTGATTTTTTTTCAAGCTGCTGATTTTAATTAATTGTTATTTTCAATGTATTGCTAAAACGACTTCCCCTTAGTTCTCGTAATAGATTGTTTACATCTACATGCTCCATAGTACATAAATGGAATTCGGCTATACATCCTAAATCCATCCCGTCCTAAATTCAGTTAAAATATTTTTACATTTTGTAAAATTTTCATTAAATTTTATCATCATTTTGAACCATATAAACAGTTTTCAGATATTGCTTTTAGTTTTTGATCAAAAGGTTTGTCAATTTTTATCAACCTTTCATGTGGGGACGAGCAGACCATATGGTGGCAAAGGTCACCCACCAGCTCTATGTGTTTTCATATTGACTTGATTAGATAAGGGTTATCAGTAATATCAAGTGCAAAAATGGCAAAAACAACAGGTTATGTAACGTTTACACAATGTATTATTACAGTATGTTTTTATTTGAAATGAACAATTGTTGTGAGCATGCTGCTAGGCGACAATAATGTGAAGATTGAGAGAATGACTTCCCATGAAGTCTTTCAACAAGTGTTGTATTAACTACTGCAAAAAATGTGACAGACTATGTTGAAAGGGGAGTTCATGGAATGGCATGCTAAAGTAATTGAACACTTGCTTCATGGTGTGTCTTCTTCCTTTGATGTTTTTTGCAGTTGTAGTCTACGTCCATTATTTTTATTGGCGTCCTCACTCATATTTTTGCACAGTTTTCGACCATCCAAATCTATAATCCCGTAGTAAATCCTTAATATATTTACTTTGTTTTTATTTCTGTCATTGTATTGTAATTTTTATTTTTTAATTGTATGACTATCATTTTGTCCATTTACAGACATCCACATTAATTTTTTGGAAGATTTATTTTGTTAAATGTATTTCTTTTCTACAGCTTTATATCATTTCAGTCATTTAAAACGGAATCCTATTTATCTGACCACATATCCAAGTTCAACTAAAAAGCATAAACGATCTTTGTCGTTATATTTTGCTATTGCAATCTCTAATGTAAAGTCATACATGCAGAACCAGCATAAGCAATCAAGAAAACTTGAGTGGAAAATTTTACCTTCTTTTTGCTGGACATAAAGTATAAATCCATGGTAAATTTTAACCTTGGGGTGGTTTCACATAAAACACTTGGTGGCCTCTAGGTGGCATGGTATGACTATTTGCGGTCAGCTACAGTCCAAGTTTTTTTTAATGAATTTAATTGTACCATGTACAATATTCTCGTCAGTCAGTGGTTGAATTTATCTGGATTGTTATTCTGTATGGAAAAAAAAATCGATTTGATCACTATGTGATCCAGTGTAGACCCTTAATTGTGAATTATTATTAAAATACATGAAGTCATTATCATCCTTGTAACTGGCATTATTACATCTTCAAATCGCGTGTAAAAAAAACCATGTATTTTACATGTGTTCTATACATTGTATGGAACCCCCATTTGAACGCAACACTGCATGGTGACAAATAAATTGTGGTAATGAACCCTAAGAGATTAATATCGACTGACAATTTGATCATTTCCCATTATGCATTACTGACATGTGCACATGTCATAAAATGTAAGGATACAGTAAGGTTACTGTGAATGAAAATGCAACCCAAACATCAGTACTGCAATATAGAGTCTGTGTATTAACTTGCAAACTATCAATGTAAGATTTTTTTCAAAATTAGACTCCCCTCCCTTGCTTTTTATTATTTTCCAGTAAGCCAAAAATGACAAAATTCTTGCTTTTTTTTAAAAACTCTATCGATTATCCTTAATTGTTGGCCAATTTCCGGTTCTATTAGTCAGCACCAAAAAAAAAAAAGGGGGGGGGTCAAAATTAGTAGTAAGAGTGCGATTTATTTCAATAGCCAAGATATTAAACTAATTGACAAATTCCAAAACATGGAAAAAATTCTCCATTTCTAATGGTCAACCCTTAATTTGTTTCAAGAGCAAATTTTGTTCAGTTTGTTTACAAGGATTTCTTCCCCATCTATTTCCATAACATTAAGATGAATGCAGGAAATGAGGATAGTCTATGAGATTCAGTGGACTCCAGTATGTACACAATAAAAATAAAAAGAGCAATTCTTCACTCTGACACTGAAATAAATATTCGTGCAACGTATCTTAGCAATGCAAATATAGGTTTATTTTAGAACAAATCGACAGAGACCATGGGAAATGATGCCATCTTAACTGCTCCATTGTCATGGAAACCTGAGATTCTGCATCACTATATACAAACTGAAAATTTCTTGCATACATACATACATAGCTAGCTATACAAAATCAGGTCTTTCAGATCAAAATCTGTCGGAGATGATCTTCGCACGGACGGAAAACTGGATGTAAATCATATAAATAAACTGATTGAATCTGAACGAAAGACTGGTTTTCAGTTTTCTAAGCCATCAGGTATAGCTTGTTATAATTTTGTACCATTAACAAGACTATTTCGGATACAATGAATCGTCCGATCACTTAATACTGTAAAAAGATTAATTATTCACTGGGTTTTAATTTTGCTTATTTCGCTGACTGGAAAATGGGTTAAATTAAAACCCAGTGAATATGTAAAATTTAGCATAGAACACGTTATCTAAATGATAAAACCGTGAATTTAAAACCCACTGAATATGCCTGAAATGGTAAATCGGCGAAATTTAAACCCAGTGAAAATTAGTCATTTTACAGTATAACAACTTGTACCAGTAGCTGTGATACAAATCACTACCAGCCAGATACCAAGGTGTTTCTCTCTGAAAACTATATTTAATATAAGGTGCCACAAAATCTGTGTGTATTTTAACACGCATTGATTTTGATTTTAAGTGTCAAAACTAGGGATCACATGCACTTATCCGAGACCTGGATTTGTATTCAAGTAAAATTACAATATTACTACCAGTAGTCTTAAAAGCGCTACTGTCGTGTCTTTGATGTGGGAACCTCATTGTTTCTTTGGAAAATCATAGGAGAATACGACAAAATAATAAAGGAGTAAAATAAATTGCCAGTAAAAATTAATGCTTTTACAGTGTCAAGATCTGTCCAAATGTAAAAAAAAAAGAAGACAGACACAAGAGTTGGTAAACAAATGTTGATTGATTGGTTCACCGCTTTAGCCAATTAGATAAGACCTTATATATGACTTTTGAGCAAATAGTACAAAGTAGCAAGCCATATCCACTTGCGTTAAAAAATTACGATAACCACACAATCTCAAATAACTGACATAAATATTTAGAAAGCTGCAACAAATGTGAAATAATGTTTACATGCAATGATGGAAATGGCAGCAACGACGTCTTTAAAGTAGAAGGTTACACAAGGTAAAAAATATTGTCATTTTCTTCATTTTCACATACATGTATTTGATATTTCATGTCATGAGGATAGAAAATAGAATACAAATATGGGGTCATCGTAGTTGATTTTAAAAAAAATTGTACAAAATTGAGTGTAATAACATGACTGTTTTAGGGCATTTTACGAATATTTCCTAGAGAACGAATATGGTAAAAGATATATAGTGTCGTTCAAGGTACTTTCTGATGTATAGAAGTATTAAAAAAATTGACAATATTTTCAGTGGGTTTTATTGAGGAAATGTGTTTTCCTTGTTTATTTTACAGTTTTTTTCTAAAAGAACAGATTGACAGTGAACCAAAACAAGTTCATATACAGATAGATTTTGACACAAAATATTGCTCCTGATATAATATGCGCAAATGTAAAAAACATTCTTAATATCAGAGAGTCAAATATTCTGCCAACAAGACTCTTAATCATCTCCGCATATTGTGAAAGGTTTGATGATAGGCTCATGTGGGGGACGGGTACAATAATAAAACACCAATTAGACCAAAAAACAAAACAGAAAAGTTGTTTTCTGGGTCTCACAGTAAAATGTTGACAATGTACATAAACAAACTCTTACAGATACACAATAAATCACAATTTCCTTTTTCTGTACGGCAAAGTGATTGAAAATTAACGTCAGATGTTTGTTGAGGAAATGTGTACCACGGCAATATCAGAATTCAAACGTGTTTGCCTATACTCATTTTGGAATTCATATTTGATTTCTAAACTAGAAACATATAATCAATGAAAATCTCCTGTGAATTAATTAATACTGTCATGCATGCAAATAAGTTTTGAGGTCAAAGTGGAGGGAATAATACATCTCATAACACCACAATGTTTATATATAAAAAATCAAATTATGTGAGTATTACAAAACGTTTCTACAACACTTCAGATATACTGAATATATACAAAAAAACTGAACTAAATTACTCTGTGCTGTAAATTTTAAACTCCACAATGTGATAATTTGTTTTCTTTGTTGAATAAAAATATATATATTTATATAAGTAGCACACGTAGGTATATATCAAACACATTGTCATGCACCATTGGGGGGTCAAACTACCAAAACCAGCCATGAGCAACCAAAAACTACCATTAATGATATGATACAAATTGATATATATATATATATGTACAATCAATGAATTTTACATCTTTTTTTAAAAATATATTAATGAGGATAACTGTCAAGACCAACTTTTTCAGCTTGATGAATAGCGCCATCTACAAGTGAAAATACCAGTTGTAGAGGGTGCTATTTACACTGTAAATTTATGGCAACCAGAATTCATAGAAAATGATATATCAATAAAAATAAACCTCAGAGTGATCAAGGCAACACACATTTTTTTGGGTGGGTTTCTGATTTAATTGAAGTCATAATGTTCAACAAGTTGTTAAGAAGAAAATTGAATCTTTGAAGCCATAATTAAATGTCATCAACCTTTTCTTCAGCACTTTTGTCAGTCTCAGCATTTTCCATCGGTTGTTCATCGTCATCTTTCACAGGCTCAACAGTTTCTTCCTCTGCAGCTAGCTCTTCTTTGATTGGTTGATCAGCTTCTTCCGCTGGCTTGTCAGTTTCTTCTGTTGGCTTGTCAATTTCTTCTGTCGGTTCATCAATTTCTTCTGCTGGCTCATCAATTTCTTCTGCCGGCTCATCAACTACTTCTTCTTCCACAGGCTTGTCATTGTCCTTGTCCTCACTTTCTTTGTCAGGAGTTGTCACTTTTTCAGGTGTCTTAGGTGGACTTGCTGAAGGAGTCACATCCTGAGAGGCCTTCGGTGTGTTCTGTTTGCTGCCACTAGATACTGGTGCAGAGACTGGACGGCTACCTTTATTATTATTATTACTATTAGTTGGTGACGATCTACCTTTAGTTGAGTTTTCAGCTGGACTCCTGGGAGAGCTTTCTACAGGACTTCTGGCAGGACTTCTAGGGGGGCTTGCTACTGTACTTCTGGCAGGACTTCTAGGGGGGCTTGCTACTGTACTTCTGGCAGGACTTCTAGGGGGGCTTGCTACTGTACTTCTGGCAGGACTGCTAGGGGGACTTGCTACTGGACTTTTGGCAGGACTTCTCGGGGGACTCGATGGCTGGTTTTCATTCTGTAAATAACAAATGTTCTTTGTGTTAATGTGTCTATGATTATTTGGCACATTAGATGCAGACCATGGATCGGAAACATAGCAGTCATCTCCAGCTAGTTATATTATAACATTCTAGTACAGCTTTATGGAGTATTATTTTCCATGGTATACACCAACTTACCCTCAGACAAACTTAATTAAGAGACTGTGGTGAGCATGTAATGAAAGAAAATAATAGCCATGTTATTTGTTGGTGACACTGCCCTCTAGTGTTGAAAGTATACAGTTACTTTGTTTTTAGCACATGACTGGTAAACTGTTCTACAGTGTATTCATTGTGTATAGCAATGCCCTTTGAGGAAAAGTAAATTCTTGTAATATTATGAGGATTATTGAGCAGATGTCCAATTTTTAATTGTTTTTTTGAGTGTTTATTATCGTCAACTGTTCACTGGATTTGTTTTCACTGAAAAATTAAATCTATATGAACATGTGAAATTATAGTACAACTAGTTGTTTCTTTGGAAAATTTGTCAACATTTTTACAGTATCAAAAGTGAAAGCTGTCCAAATGTGAAAAAAAATCAAAGGGATTGGTAAAACTACTGTTGTGCCATCCTGTTCTTTGTGTGAATTATCAGCCTTCTTTAACAAAATTCTTGCAAACAAAAATTTGTTAGTTACATTTTGACTGGAATTGACAAACAAGCAGCCTGTCGGCTGAGATAGCTCCACTGTTAGCGATGCACATTGCAATTTAAGAACTGAAGATATCATTAGACAAGCAGCCTGTCAGCTGAGAGCTCCACTGTTAGCAATGCACATTGCAATTTAAGAACTGAAGATATCATTAGACAAGCAGCCTGTCGGCTGAGATAGCTCCACTGTTAGCAATGCACATTGCAATTTAAGAACAGAAGATATCATTAGACAAGCAGCCTCTCAGCTAA